ACTCTAGGAACTGTAATTCGCAAGCTGAGGTATTGCTTAGGATTATATTTTATGTCATTATTAAAAAATAAAATATAAATTGGAAATAATATCATATTGTCTTATTTCCTTCTGTAAATTAAGATGAAAACACTAATCAAACTAAATACTCCATTAAAAAAAAATAGAATGTTTACTCTTATTGTTAGATCACAAGTAGATCAACTCTCATACTCTTGAATTTTTTTCTATATTATTTATTTATTTATTTAAATTTTTTTTTTATGTGTGAAGCAAAAATCGAAACGGGCACATTCCATACAGAGACTCCAAGTTGACCCGAATTCTCCATTCGTCTTTGGGAGGGAATGCGAAAACTGCGATTATATGCACGATGAGCCCTGCAAGAAGCCACGTGGAGCAATCGAGGAACACTCTCCTTTTCGCCAGCTGTGCAAAGGAGGTGACAACGAATGCTCGGGTTAATGTAGTCATGTCTGATAAAGCCCTGGTGAAGTATTTGCAGAGAGAGCTAGCGAGGCTAGAGAGCGAGCTTAGGAGCCCCCGGTCGAGTTTTTCACCTTCCGATTATTCCGCTATACTCAGAGAGAAAGACCGTCAAATTGAGAAGGTAGTGAATCTTTTTTCACCTTGTTTTTGAGTGAAAATGATTTATTTTATCGAAATGCCTATTTGTTTACTCGCTGGCTTCATTCGTATGGAGATGCCGCCTAATATCGAGTGTTTCGCTCTAAAAGTTACAAATGCGATTTCAACTCTCTTGTATTAATTTTACCATGGAGTTGTTGCTTGAAGTTTTATGTTATAAGATGTTGACATAGAATAAATTAAAATATTAAAATGGTAACACTTTTATCGTTAAATTCTTAATGGATGAGATGGGCACAGTAACAATTGAGTCGAGCATTCATTTGTTATGAAAGTGAAAAATTTCACCTGATCGAAAAGTTTTACCTAGCACAATATTTCAAGTTAAAAGTTTCGAGAACTAACTTTTTTCAACTTGCCCTTTCAATTTCATCCACTGCAGCTCGAGGAGGAAAATAATGACCTTATTCTGCAAAGAGACATTGCTCAGTCCCAAGTAAAGGATTTACTTCGAATATTGGGCGAGAATACCAATTCAACACCGCAGGTAACTAACTATTCATTGATCAAATGTTTTTTTTTCTTGCTTCACAATTTAAACATTTCTTTATCGATGTTATTGTTATGTTATAATAGCTTCGTTATTTCTTCTATAGGTGGGATTTGACGACTATCCTCACTTGCGAGTACACAAGTCACCAGAAAACGAACTCAGGGCGTCGTCCATTTTGTCTGACCCTCACTCTTTAGACATTGACACACGAACGTGTTCCGGTGGCCACAGCAGGTCAAGTTCATCGGGCCAAATCGTAAAAGTCCCATATTTCGAGGATGACTTTGCAAACACCACTGCATCTCCAAGAATCTTAACCTCAACCTCTAGTGAGAGGTATTCATATCACGGTTGGGAGGACATTGAAAAACAAAGCAATGGGACATCATCTGAGGATCTTTGTCGTGAAGTTCGCTGCATAGAGACTCAGGAGTCGAGCGAAAAGAGTGATAAGAAATTCACTTCATTATTATGTCCTGAGGAAAACACGTGTTTTCCCGAAGTAGAGGAATACGTAAATGAAAACGGGCAAAATTTGGAATTCCCATTAAGCCCCACTTTAGACAAAGATCATGTTTTTCAGTCAACACCTCTGGTGGACGGCGATGAAATAACTGTATCCTCAAATGGGTACGAGGAAGGGAAAGAAAATAGCTCGACTGCTCGCTTTCCTGATGTCCCATCTCTAAAAAATCCATCTTTTTCAACTCCTGAGCAGGTTAAAGACTCATTGCCTGTAAGTCCAATGCTGCTGAGGTTGACTAAAAGTAGAAGCTGCAAAGCGAGTATAACCGACTCGAGCTCCCCGTGGCTCAAAACAATCGAATTTAGTGAGACCTCATCGTCTATCGAGTCCAAAAGAGAAAATGCGGGTTTCGAGAAGAAACTGTCTCCATTGAGCTTTGAATCGGATGCGAAAAGTTTATTGAGAAAAGATTCTCAGTCATCCCCAATAAACACTCTTGACATCGAGGTTGATAGCCCGGATGTGAAATGTTCGAATACAGAGGTGGTTTTTGGGAGCACTAATGATGAGATGGATATGAATGAGCTCTCAGTCGAGCATGTTTTTGTAAAGAATCCGGTGAGTTTGCAATTACGATTATTTTTTTAACAAAAGTAGGTTCCTTGTAGATTGAATAGTTTCCTGGTAATAATGTTTTGTTGATTAATTTTTGCTATTAATTTTTCTTGCAGTCAAAAGAGACTCTGAAAATCGACGAGCCCCTAAAGAAGAATGTCAAGGATGTGGGGTTAGATCCAATCGAGGACGAACCAAAAGATCTTTCAACCAGCTGGCCCACCGAGTTCAAGAGGCTCCAACAAGAAATAATCGAACTCTGGCACGATTGCCATGTGTCGCTCGTGCACAGGACCTACTTCTTCATGCTATT